TAGGGTTTAAATAAATTTAGAAAAGGGATTAGGGTTTAGGGTTTTATGGACGAGATATTTTAGGCCATAAAACCCTAATCCATTTTGAAATATTATTTTTTAAAAATATATATATAATTTAGGTTTTATTTATTAGGGTTTAGGGTTTAGGGTTTAGGGTATATTTGTCTATTTAATTTTCTAATATGTCTGTTTTTTTTTACGTCGTATGGAGATACCACGACCCAATTATTTTAATAGGCGTCATATTTCTTTTGACATTGTAACGACGGTATTTTGTTTTTGCGTCGTAAGTATATTTACAACGACGTCATTTTTTAAATAAGCGTCATGTTCCATATTATGATGTTGCCCAAGTATTGGGCCCGATTCGAAATCAATAGGTGTAAGAAATTGGACAATTCAACTTCAAAGGCAGTTCATTCCTAATTGAAGAGGTTGGTGTATTCCATAGTTCTATAGATCGGATTTCACTCAAAATTGACCAGATGACTCCTCCCACCATATTATGATGTTGCCCAAGTTTTGTGCTCGATTAGAAATCAATAGGTGTAAGAAATTGGACAGTTCAAGTTCAAAAGCAGTTCTTTCCTAATTGGAGTGGTTGGTGTATTTGGTAGTTCTAGAGATCGGATTTCACTCAAAATTAACCAAATGACTCCTCCCACCATATTCTGATGTTGCCCAAGTTTTGGGCTTGATCCGAAATCAATAGGTGTAAGAAATTGGACAATTAAAGTTGAAAGGCAGTTCGTTCCTAATTGGAGTGGTTGGTGTATTGGGTAGTTCTAGTCGTAAGTCATGAGCCTAACATATTTTTCACGTCGTTTATTTTCAGATCATGTCGTTAATATAATTTTATACGGCGAACGACTGGAAATTTGTGCCATGTAAAAGATATGAAACGACGGTTTTGTGTTTAAAGATGACGTATAAATTCTGAAACACGGTTGTCTTTTATTTGTGGACGACGTTGTTTATTAAATATAACGTCGTTTATAGAAATACATGTGTCGTAAGTAATTACCCTAACCGCTATTTCCACGTCAATATTAATGAAAAAAACGAAGTGGAAAACTTATTTCACGACGGTGATATAAATAGATGTGACGTAGTATGTATTAATAACGTCGTCTGTTATTTATTTACAGACGTCTTTTATCTATTTAAACGACGTTTCTTATCCTAGACAATTTTTTGGCTCATTTTTTAGTATACAGACGTCGGTTCTTATTTGTTAATGACGTTGTTTGTTATAACAACAACGGTGATTTACCGTCGGGGTTTTACTTTGGAAAAGATGTCGGTCGATTTCACGACGGTTTGAAAACCCGATAAACGACGGTGAATTCCAGTCGTCTTTTGCCTTTTTTTCACGACCAACTTCCCAGTGGGTCACCCATCCTGGGATTGCTCTAGCCCCCAACTCGCTTAACTTCGGAGTTCCCATGACTCCGAAGCTAGTGAGCCCCCAACTCTAGCACATCAACCCCTTCTCCGTTGGTCTATGTGGGATCTTACACCAGTGGCTAGAACTATGCAATACACCAATCACTCCATTTAAGGCACAAACTGAGTACGAACTTGAATTGTCCAATTTCTATGGCCTATGGATTTCAGATCAAGCCCAACACATGGGCAACAACATAATAAGGTGGGAGGAGTCATTCGGTGAGTTTTGAGTGAAATCCAATTGTCACATCCCGGGATCGGCTCCGCCGTAGCACAATATCGTCCGCTTTGGGCCCCCCTCTCTGCCCTTACGGTTTTGTTTCTAGGAGCTCACGAGCAATTTCCCAGTGGGTCACCCATCTTGGGATTGCTCTTTCCCCTAACTCGCTTAACTTCGGAGTTTCCATGACTCCGAAGCCAGTGAGCTCCCAAAAGGCCTTGTGCTAGATGGATGTGGGCATGTACATAGAAGGCACATCAACGCCTTCTCCGTTGGTCTATGTGGGATCTTACAATCCACCCCCCTTAAGGGCCCGATGTCCTCGTCGGCACACTCGCACCACATGGCAGAATGGCTCTGATAAAAAATTGTCACATCCCGAGATCAGCTCCGCCGTAGCACGATATTGTCCGCTTTGGGCCCCCCTCTCTGCCCTCACGGTTTTGTTTTTGGGAGCTCACGAGCAACTTCCCAGTGGGTCACCCGTCCTGGGATTGCTCTAGCCCCCAACTCGCTTAACTTCGGAGTTCCCATGACTCCGAAGCTAGTGAGCCCCCAACTCTAGCACATCAACCCCTTCTCCGTTGGTCTATGTGGGATCTTACACCAGTGGCTAGAACTATGCAATACACCAATCACTCCATTTAAGGCACAAACTGAGTACGAACTTGAATTGTCCAATTTCTATGGCCTATGGATTTCAGATCAAGCCCAACACATGGGCAACAACATAATAAGGTGGGAGGAGTCATTC